GATTCAAGGGCCAGATCTTGATGCCCAACATTGGTTATGAGAGCAACAAGAAAACAGAGTACATGCTGCCCAGTGGCTTTTGTAAGTTTCTGGTCCACAGCATCAAGGAGCTTGAAGTGCTGCTGATGTGCAACAAATCTTTCTGTGCTGAGTGAGATCTCTCATACCTTCTCAAAGAACCATAAAGCTATTGTAGAAAGAGCAGCTGGCCATCATAGTCACCAATCCCAGTGCCAGGCTGCAAAGTGAAGAAAATGAATAGACAGATTGTATACACATTGTATTTGTGCATAAAACTGCCAAAAGGAAAAAAAAGACCAAGTGTAGAAAAGCAAGCAAGGACTTATTGGCCTCAGTAAAACCACACTCAGGACAATGAAACGAGGAAGGGCATGGAAGCAACAGGAGAGCCTAGGCTGGGCTGCTTTGGCTCACTGAGTAGTCAGAAAAAGGGGCCTTGGAGACGGGTTCAAGGGTTTAGCCTGGGACGAGCTGCTGCTGCTGCCCATTGTTCCCGAGGTTGCAAGTCTCCTGGGGTCCCTGGAGTTTAGGAGATACATACCTGTGGGGGAAGGGAATGGCATGGGTGTGCTTCCTGGAGGGAGAACACCCTGGGACCTTTGTTTTCAGGGGTTTTGAAGGCTGAGTGTTTAGGGGAGGATCAATAAAATATTCATCAGCTTTATGCTGATGTACCAAAATGAGATTTATTCTCTTAATATGTCTGTCCTTGGGTGTGCTTGGCAACTGGCATTAATTGAATTTGTGATCTGTCTCCCTGAGTAGGGTGATTTAAGCCATTTACCCTCTGGCTGGGGAGAAGTGCAAACTATTTACTCTTAAGTGTCCTTGGTTTAGGAAAGATAGGATTTACTAGGTGGCTGCAAACTGGTGTTTAACTGTCTCTCTCCATTTGCCCATTCCACTCGTCCTGGAATTTTCCTAGTTTCTTACTATGCTATAACATTTTAATACTCAGCATGAGTGAGAATCTTATGCAGCAGGCATCCTTATACACAGATTGGTAGGATTATTAAATTAGTTGAATCTTCAGGATAGTTGAACAAATTGTGTAGTAACTTCTTAGTAAATATTTGTTGACTGCTGCCCTGAGGACAGAGAATTGCTCCTGGACCTCACTGATTCCTTTTCTTCTGGGGACATTCCCTTTATCCCTTAGCGCCTTTCCCTGTGCCCTGTTGCCTGGTAGGGGTGGAGGGAGGAGACAGCCAGCTCACCTGAAGGCTACCCACTGCCACCACTCCCTACCTACCAACCCCCAGGATTACTGGTCTGTCCTCCCAAAGGAAGGGGGAAGAGGACAGGCCCAAACCACTGTTTTTCTCTTGTGTCTTTTACTGGAAGCCTGAAAGGCTGGTTTGTGTGAGAGAAAGAGGGTGGTATATGTGTGTGTCCTGTTAGTCAAGAGAGTCCTGTAAATCACAGGGAGCAGGCTGAACTGTCAGTACTCTCATCCTTTCCTGGAAACCGGAGGGCTCTGGGCCAGCCCCCGCTCCCCCCCCCCCATTTTCTCCATGAGGTAGAGCCATGTTGGTCTTCAGGGAGGCTGGCCCTGCTTTTTTCCTCCCTCGCAGGAGGTGAGCCAGAGGTGGTTGGCCTTGGCATTCCTTCCTGCTTCTGTTCTTTCCCCCTCCTCACTGATGGTGTGTCCCAGGACCGGGTGACAGTGATTGGCGTATATGTATTTCAGTGCTGACCATTTCCCTGATGTTGGATACTTTCCATCTGAGGAGCCCAACAAGTTCTCAGGAGACCAGGTCCCTGGGTAGTTTCCAGGGGCAGCAAGCCATGGCCGTTCTCAACAGCTTTCCCAGAAAGGTGCAACAAGTACAAAGTCACCCATCCCCCAGACTCCAGCCACTAGTCAACTTGCCCTCTGTGGTAGCCTGACCAGCCCTAGGAACAGAGATTCTGTTCTGGTTCTTGCTCCTCCCTCATCACCTGCCCCCTGACATCCAGCAGACACTGTTCAGAGATACCTCCCATGGCAGAGGCCTTGACCGTGGGTAAACCATGGTGTGTGCACAGCTCTGCTGGCCAGATTGTGCCTGTGACCTTGGCTCTTCTCACACCACTCCCTCCTGGCAGAGGCTCACAAGCCCCTCCCCCCAGCGTTTCAGGATGTGTGTAGTTGGCACTTTGAGAGAGGCTGTGCACAACAAGACCAAGACTCAGAGTTTCCATGAGCAGCTGAGAAATTCTAGAAACAGTCTGCACTTTGGGGTTTTCCTTTCCTTTTCTGCCCTTGCCGCAGGGAAGAATTAATGTGTTATTTTTGGGAGGATTATCAGATGGTTGCCTGTTCTAAGCACACTGGTTTTCGGGGTTGTGGGGAAGGGAGGCTGCCTGCCTATTCCCACCTTTCTCCCACCACCTTCCTCCTGGATCCCCCAAGCCACTTTAAGTTTTCTTTAATTTTTCTATCTTATGTTTTGTATCCCAACTCCAGACCAACTTCTCTGCGGTCATCAGTTCTATTGAAGTTGAAGAAGGGGGATCCTGCCACCTGAGGATACTTGTAGTTTAATTGGGGGTAGAGACCAAAGCTTAATAAAATTCTAAACTGAGAGGTGAGCAAGAACCAGAACAGAATCTCTGTTCCTAGGGCTGGTCAGGCTACCACAGAGGGCACATTGGCTAGTGGCTGGAGTCTAGGGTATGGGTGACTCTTTACTTGTTGCACCTTTCAGCAGATTTCCTTTGGACACTCCCTCCTAGGCATTCACTCCTCTAGGCTCTGCAGAAGGGAAAATAGCCCAAGACTCTACCACTGTGGACTTTGCAGTCTAGTAGGAGGAGACAGACATTAAATATGTAAACAAAAGAAAAAAAAAGACTACTTAAATAGTGATAATAGGCTAAGGCAGTGGTTCTCAACCTGTGGGTCGCAACCCCTTTGGGGGTCAAATGACCCTTTCACAGGAGTCGCCTAAGACATAACAGTAGCAAAATTACAGTTATGAAGTAGCAACAAAAATAATTTTATGGTTGGGGGGTCACCACAACATGAGGATCTGTATTAAAGGGTCGCAGCATTAGGAAGGTTGAGAACCACTTGAACGAAAATAAAACAGGATTTGGAGGTTTTGAATGATTGTGACTGGGCAGTTTTTTCATGAAAAAAAATTTTTTTTGGTTAATCCTCACCCGAAGATATTTTTCCATTGATTTTTAGATAGCATGGAAGGGAGGGAGGGTGGGAGAAAGAGGGAAAAACATTGATGTGAGAGAGACACATCGATTGGTTGCCTCCTGCATATCCTCGAACCTTTAACCCAGGTACATGCCCTGACCGGGAATCGAACCCGAGACCCTTCAGTTCTCGGGCTGACACACTAACCGCTGAGCCAAACCGGTCAGAGCTTTAAAAAAAAGACAGGTGGCCCTTTACTTTGAGGAGGTCACATTTGAACTGAAACCTGATACAAAGATCTAAGGGACGAGCATTTTAGGTAGAAGGAACAGCGAGTGCAAAGGCCCTGAAGTCAGAATGCACATGATGTGTTAAAGGGAGATAAAGAAGGCAGGATGGCTGGATCCCAGGGAGAAGAGGACTCAGTAATAAAGATCAGTGGAGTCAGCAAGGACTAGATGACACAGTGATTTATAGGCCAGAAATAGGAGTTTTAATTTTATTCCATTTATTCCAATAGCGGGGAAGCCATTGGAGGGTTTAAAGCAAAGAAAGTGTTGTGATCAGATTTGTCTTTTGACGGATGACTTTTTGCCCAGCTGGTGTGGCTCAGTGGCTGAGCATTGACCCATGCCAAGAGGTCACCATTTCAATTCCTGGTCAGGGCACATGCCCAGGTTGTGGGCCCAATCCCTAGTGGGAGGCGAGCAGAAGACGGCCAGTCGGTGTTCTCTCTCATCAATGTTTCTATCTCCTTGACCCTTTCTCTCTGTATAACATCAATAAAGGGAAAAAATAATTAAAAGGATGACTCTTTAATTGAACTTTATACTTAAGATTTGGATATCTTTACATGTATATCTGTTATACTTAAAAGAGAGAAAGAACTCTGACAGTATAGAGGTAGGTGCCCAGTGGAAACTGGAAAGCTGGTTAAGAGATTTTATTTACCTAGAATTCCCTCTATTCACATGCCCTGTGGTGTGTCAGTTTTACAAGGAAAACTGGAATGGGGTCTTGTTCTTAGGGAGTGTACAGTGTAGTTCCTTCCGAATTTTCCTGGAGGAGAGAGGTCATGAAGAATGAGCAGCACTAGTGTTAATGTAGCTTGTAGTCCATTCTCTTTGTATATGATTCTGTTGTGAGGATGGTGCTGTTGGGCTTTTGAGTTGCCTGCAAGGTTTTTTTTACTGTGAAAAGTGCTACCATAAGAATGCTCATGACCATCTCTTTTTTCTCTCTGTTTGGGCTTTAAAGTCACTCAAACTAGAGCATGTCTGAGTTGCAAGCAAAAATCAGACACCCTTTCCAGGTGGTAATACAATTGCCCCTTGGGATTGTTGTTAACCAGAGAGGTAAGCCTTTAAGTCTGGTGGAATGTTGATCCCTTTTTAATAGGCAGCAGTTTATAGGAGGCTGGGGAGTGGAAGGGCAAATGAATACAGGCGCTTCGACTTTTGTGGCTTCACTCTAGCGCGATTTTTTCAAATATATTCATTAAAAAGTTGATCAAGATAGTGAAAATGATACAGCGCACACTCGGTTGTCTGAGTCAATTGTACACCCCTGTATTAAAATTAAAATTAAAATTACTGTACATATGGACTATAGGCCTATGTATTCGAGCACCCCAAGAATCCTTCAATGCCAGGTACAACCACTGGAGTCTGGAACGGATTAACCACGATAAACAAGGGACGACTGTATGGGTACAAATTGTTCTGTTGTCAGGGAAGTTGCTTCTTTTGCACCATATTGTCCGAGACTGCCACTGTATGCACTCACAGCTTTGATGGGGTGTTTTAGTCTGAGGAAGGGTAACTTTGCCTATGTGGATCTTTTTCAGGCCCTGTTCTGTATCCAAGTGTGATAGGAACCAGAAACCTAGCTGCCTTTGCTCTGGAATCCATGTGTGAGTACTCCTGACAGCTTCTCCAGGGCTGTGGCTTGGGCAGAGATGGGAAGACCAGGAGGGCACAGGGCTGGGGTCCTCATGCTCTCCTTTGCACCTTGGACTGGAGGAGCTTTGAGAAGACATCCATAGCCCCAAATACTGCATCTTCACTGAAGTCTATTCCAGCCATTTTGTAATCTGTAGAGAAGTTGAGGATGTATCTGTTCTATTTATTTTTTTTATTAATTGATTTGAGAGAGAGTGAGGAAAGGGGAGTGAGAGAGAGAAACTTTGATTTGTTGTTCCACTTATGTATGCCTTCATTGGTTGCTTCGTGTATGTGCCCTGACAGGAGATCGAACCCACAACCTTGGTGTACGGAAATGATGCTCTAACCAACTGAACTACCTAGCCAGTGTTGTTCTTTATGCATTTGTATTTATATATTCATGTGGCAAGTACTTATTTAGATCCTACCAGCCTCCTAGTATTGTTAATGAAACCACCAAGAAAATTAACGGTCAGTGTTAGAACTGTCATTCTAAGAGCCTACCACTGAGACAGAATGGTAGGATTCCCAGGAAGGAGAGCTTGTTTCCCAGGTGGGACAGGACTTGTGGTAGGGATGGAGGATTTGGGGTGAATCAGAGGTGGTACTTCTTCCTGCAGTTCATCCTTTAAAAAAAAAAGAACATCCAGGCCCTTTACATTTGTGGAGCAAGTGCCTAGAACACATGCAGATATGTTCAGCTTTCTGACAGATGTTTCTAACAGATGTTAATCTGACTTCTTAGTTCTGTGGGTCAGTGGACATGGGAGGGGCAGGGGTGAGGCATTTTGGATGGAGCCCAGGGTCCAGGCAAGAGAGTAATGGCAGGTGAGGGGGAAGGTGGTAAGAGCCTAGTTGGAGGGACTCTTGACTATCAGGCAGAGGAACGAATCTTTCTGTTGGGTGAAGGGGAGTGATACGTTTATTTTATGATGTGTGTATTTGACATACATCACAGAGGAGGGAAGGCATGTATTTTAGCAGGAGAGTGCTCTGATCCAGGTGGAGCAGGGTGGGTTGGAGGGGCTATGGCACAGTGCAGATGAGCAGCACGAGGCACTGGGCTGCCGTGGTTTCTAAGGAATCATAGGAAGAGGGGCGCTCTGGTCACTAACAGAGGTCCACAGTGAGGAAGCAGAGGATGTGGGAAGGCGTTTCTCCTCAGTGATCAGTGGTGACTGTCAGAGACCTTGGGCCGGAGAATAAGCCATTTGGGAAATTTGGACAGTGGGAGGGACAGTGGAGGACTTATGATACAGGAATGCAGTTACTCAATTTCTCTCCCTTTCCTGCCACCTTTCTCATTCCAATTTGGAAATCTGGGGGTTTTCTTTCTTTTTCCCAGTTAACTTCTTTCTCATGGGAATAGGGTTTATTCATTGCTCTGTTGATAATATTTATGGTAACTGAGAAACCTAAGGTACAGCCTGTGCCTTTCTACTGGGGGCCCTGGCCATGTTCCCATGAGCAGTAACTGCACAAAGGTTGAGTGCTGTGTGGGAAGGGGCCACCACTGGACAGCAGTGGCTCTTACCCTCTTTGAAATCTGGGGATCTAAGATCTTCCTCTGAGTGTAGTTGTCCTCAGGCTTTAGTGTATATCATGATCACCTGGAGGACTTTTTAAAGACACAGATTGCTGTTCTCCACCCCTAGTTTCTGATTCAGCAGGTTTTGGTGGGGCTGAGAATTTGAACTTTCAGGTTTCCAGGTGGTGATGATGCTGCTGGTCCTGGGACCACACTCTAAGAATCACTTTCCTAGAGAAATTATCACACAGAATTCAGCATCTCAGCTATAGAGTCTGGTGTGATCAGTCTTTGAGGAGAAGAGGGGGGCATAAGCTGGCTTAAGGATGGGAGGGTTGTAAAGGCAGAGATAGTGGTGCAGAAGGGCACTGAGCCAGGCTGGGAGGAAGGGAGGGTGGGTGGGCCAGCTGGGCAGGTAGTCTTTGCTGCAGGCAGATTCATGAAGCGGCCCTGGGGCATGGCTTCTACTAGAGAGAGGTTGACAGCTCCAGGGAAACCAAGTAGCCTCTGCCTGCCGTAGGTCAGTATCTCGTCAAGGCTCACTGTCGAGGAAGGGCCAACCTCACCTTCCAGAGGGAGACTGGGCTCTGCTCAGAGGATTCTTCTGACCCATTTTGGAAAGGAGGGAGCATAGAGAGACTTCTTGTGAGAATCCCTTGGTGGCAAATTCTGCCCACACAGTGTTGCTGCCAAAGCATTGGCATTGACATTTATAAATGGCTCTCCTGCTGCAGAAAGAGACTTGAGCAGACTAATCTCAGCTGATTTAGGAAATGATGTTGTGGGTCTGTCCTTTTTAACTCACTCTGATATTTTGGGTTATGAGAACAGTGATGGGGCTTGTTTCTCTCCTTGCAACCACTAAAGAGGAGTCTATTCAGTTCATTAGTGGAAAACTATGAGGCCAGCAGCCCAAGGGTAGGGGAGGCACCCCAGGCTGGGTTGAAGTTGGGAGAAAGAAGCCTTGCTCTTGAGACCACACTCGGTGCTATGTTTTACCTCGACACCAGAGAGCCTGCTATCTGGTCTCCTGCTTCTGTTCTTGCCCACCTTGAGTTCATTCTCCACACCGCAGCCACATGGATATACCACGAACTCAAATCTGAACCTATCTCTACTGAAAATAGTCCCCACTGCCCTCCAGATGATGTCCAGCCACCTTATCATGGCCTACAGGCTCCTCCCTGCCCTGGTTCCTACTGCATCTCTCCTGTCTGCCTGGCCACACTGGACTCTTAAATTCTCAGATGCTCACCTAGTCTTTACCCAAATGCAGCTGTGTCTTCCTGGATCATTCCCTTCACCTCCTTCACCTTCACCTGGCCTACATTTACTGCCCTTTGGTCTCTACTGAAATAAGGTTTCTTTTTGGAGGCCTCCCCTGACGCTAGGTTTGCCTGCCCTGCTGTGTTCTCTGTGGCTTCCTGACTCTGTCTCATCGTGATCTGTGTTAAGTGGTGCGGGTGGGCTTGTTCACAGGCGTACATGTGAAGGAAACCATGTGGTTTGCTCCTCTTGTCCTGGCGTGTTTATTTATTTATTTTGTTAGGTTTTTTTTTTATTGATTTTAGAGAGAGAGGAAGGGAGAGAGAGAGATGGAAGCATTGATGAGAGAGAACATCGATTGGCCGCCTCCTGCATGCCCCCCACTGGGGATCGGGCCCACAACCTGGGCATGTGCCCTGACCGGGAATTGAACTGGCGACCTCCTGGTGCATGGGTCAACGCTCAACCACTGAGCCACATCTGCTGCTCTGGCGTGTTTATTAATAGTGTCTCCTTTCACTATCATGTACACTACTTTTGGGTAATAAATTCCAGCCTACTAGAAACAGAGAATCAAAGACTATACTTTCCAGACAGCTTGCACTAAAATTCCCAGTGTGACTTGGATTCTGCCAGTTAGCTGCACTTGACCTAGTCTTAAAATGTATGGCCATCCCCTTCCTCTGGATGGGCTCCAGGACATTCATTTTGCTGATGTGGATCATGGCAGGGGCCGCATGATTCTGGAGCAGGCTGCTGCTTTGTCCCATAGCTATCTGGTGGTGGCAGGAGCCCCAGCTACTTGGCAGCCTGGCTCTGCACTGATTTTTGGGAGTAGCTCCTGGAGGCTCAGTCTAGAGTGTTTCTCCAGCTTTCCTGATGATTCTCTAAGCCATTTAGTACCTCGTACAAAATCCCTTCCTGTTCAAATGGCCTTACTGAACCCTGATCAAAACCTAACCCATGTCATCATCATTCTTGCAAGTTACGTACTTGTTGAGTTGTTTCTTTCCCTTGTCTGAGAAGGCAGGCACAGGTTTTACACACCCCCAGTGCCAAGCATAATTCCTGGTATAAGTTATTTAGCAGCAAGTGTTTGCTAAAGGAATGAACCCTTGGACTGAGTTTGTAAAAGACTGGTAGGTGTAGCTAGTTTTTAGTTCAAAGAGTATAAATGAAATTGAAGGAATGAAGGTTGTTTAGTCTAGAGAACAAGAGAGTAATAAGGGTCATGACAGCTGACTTCAGGGTTAAACTTAATCTGTGGGCCCTGGGAGGAGGTACTGAGCTCCCTGTTCCTCATCAAGCCCTAGGAGCCATGCAGACAGATATCAGTTAGAAGACAGGTTGGGCTTCCCATCTTCTAGTAGAAATTTCTGCTTCTCCTTCCTGTGTTGTGGAGAAGAGTAAGGGGAGGGCCCTACTTGCTTTCAAAGAACAAAAATCTGCTGGAGGGGTGCTGTGGGAGAGCTGGTAATTAGGAATCCAAAGTAGTTGGAGAGGATTGCTCAGAGAGTGGTCCAAGAAGGCTTCCTGGAAGAAAAGGTAATCGAATAGCCACTGAGAATAGGCAGGTCTAGGTGAGGGAATAGGCTCGAAAACTTGGAGGACAGGGAACAGAAGGAACAGACAGACCTAACGTGTACACAGTACCTTTAAGCTCTCGTTTATCAGAGTCCCCCTATGAGATTGGACGTTTCATAGTGTAATTGTGCCAGGAGCATGTGGTAACTTAGTGTTAGGCCCCACATTTGAACCCAGGGCTGTCCAGCTTGTCATACTGTCTCATGATTTAGCCATAGACCATACATTTTACTTATTTATTTGACTCTGAATAATAGGTCAGGGAGTTTTGCTTCAAGTGGGTAATGTAAGTGGTGGATATGCGTAGTACCATGATTCCTATTCCACATGCTGGGCCCGTGACCTGACAAACAGGAATGATCTTACAGGGACAACAGGTCAGAATTTTGCAATTGAGTGTCTGGGAAATGTTGGTGGATGAATGATGAGAATAGCAGTGACTCTTGCCATGCCTCTGGTGTTGGGGAGGGATATTCCTGGCTGGCTGCTGCTCACCGGGCTGCTGCCTGTCGAGTAGTTTTGGAAGACTGCTTTGCTATGTCAAGCCCAGGCTCTGGCTAGAACAGTGGAGCCAGGCAAATGCACCCCCTC